GTGTTCTTCAGGTCACTAAGATTCTACTGGTTGCTTGTAATTTCAGAAAAAAATAGCCTGTACCAACCAATTGTGGATCACCAAATGGAGGTCTTGGGTAGCAGGTAGAGTTACATTTCACCTGCACAGGAAAAGGGAAAAGTCATGGGAAAGAAGTCTCTTGGGATCACAGGGTGACTTTGATCTGAAAGGACACTGACATTTAAATACAATTGTTTGTAGCACAGCTCCATTCTGGATGGTACCACCTCTGAGGTTTAGCAATGAATCACAGATTCATAGAACCATCTGTGTTGGAAGGGAGCTCTGGAGATCATCCAGTGCAACTCCTCTGCAAAGCAGGTGACACAGGAACATGTCCAGGTGGGGTTCTAAAGTCTCCAGAGAGGGAGACTCCATGACTTCCCTGAGCAGCCTGTTCTAGTGCTCTGCCACCCTCAGTGAAACAAAGTTCTTCCTCATGTTGAGGTGAAACTTATTGTGGCTTAGTTTATGGCCATTCCTCTGAGTCCTGTCACTGAACACCACTGAAAAGAGTCTGGCATCAGTTTGTTTTTCCACAGCAGCAAGACTTCCAAAGCAGAGATTTAACTTCATAGTTCATGGGTCCACACATCTTGACATAGTTGTTCTGTGCCTATTGGGTGTCCCAGGGGATCACAGAAAGAGGGCATGGCACAGGAGACCAGCACCTCTCTGGCTTATCTTACCAGATGAGATATCCAGGGCATCTAAAACAGCCTCAGCTATCTTCAGGCAACCAGATCCCACCAAGGTTGTCATATTTCAAAATTCCTTGTTGGCTAACCCAAATAAACACACTGGCTGCCAACAGCATTTCTAACTGAAACCTGCTGTCCTGCCTCCTGATCCTTTTTTGTTACCTTCACCAGTGTTAAATCAGGGCTAATAACAGTGATCCTAATCCCCTGCCCCTTTTGAGGGCAGATACCTGCTGTGAGTCATTGCAAAGTATTTGTCCTTTCTCTCCTGCTAGAGGCCAGCTTCAGTGAGAGATGAGGGTCCAGGCTAGTGTCCACATCTGCCAGCCCCTTGCCAGTGATGCCCCTCAAGAAAAGGCTCCTTTAGGAGCTTTGGAGAAAGCCACCTTGCAGCTCTGTGTCTGAGAGACACCAGCTCCATATCACTCTGCAGCTGACAGGGCATTTACAGCAGCTAAGGGTGGAAATGGCTCCGTGCGCTGCCTTTGTCATACAGTATCATGTATCATCATACATCATACAGCTGTCCTGTGGCAGCTCAGGATAAACATAGCCATACGTGGGACCCATGGATGACCAAGAACAGCATGTGCCAAGTAAAATTGCCTCTGCAGCTGGTCCCTGTGCCAGTCAGCCCCTGAGGATACGTGTAAGGGGATGTACTCATGGATGCATGGGGAGTCACCTGGGATATTGTCTTAGCAGCAGAAGTAAAGCCTGAACTATACGTATGAGTACTCAACCTGTTCTTTGAGTATTTGTCCTGTTCTCCCTGAGCTCTTCATGCTTGTGGCTTCCCTGTTAGCCAGATCCAACCTGGTTTGAAGTTTTCTCAGGTTTCTCTATGCAGTCTGCTGGCCCAACCTCTCACTAGTTTGCTGCAGCAGAAAACAAACAACCTGGGAAGTAGCTATTCAAGGCAAAACTGGGTTGATGCACATTTATGGCCAATTAGCATATGTCACCATTCTGCCTCCACAACTAAAGTGAATGCACCTAAGAAGTGAGAACAACCTCAATTAAAGCTGCCATATGACCCAAAACTTTTGTTTCTTGGCTGAGTGCATCCTGTGATGTTGTTGCTGAATTTATACTCTGCAAGGCTATCACACTCTTGAGTGACTTGGGTTTCTAATGTCTGCTCTAATGACCATGATTTCCCTCTTAATTTGTTCCCTTCTCTTCAACTTTATTGGAAGCACATCTGGACTTACAAAGTATTTCATTCCAGCCCCAGTTCCTCCTTCAAGGACTCAGGGACGATGACACATGGCTATGCCATTGACCTTGGCAGGTCTGTGAGGAAGTGCAAGTGCCTGGAAGCATCCTTCCCCTAAGGTGTCCAGTGCCCTGACAGTGCCAAACAATGCACCTCAGTGAATCTCTGGCTGACGTGACTCAGCACAGAAACAGTTTTCAACTTCTAAAGGTTACACAGTTTTCAAAATTCCTGCTTCACCCTCCATCTTTTGGAAGGGGGAGGGGTTGGGTGGCGGGTGCCGTAGAGACAGAGGTTGGGTTGAGGGTCCCAGCTGCACAACTTTCTGATATTTGCAACCAGTTTTTCACAAGTGCAAAAAATCCCTCTCTGTTTCTGCATTATTCATCTGTATTTTGCATTTCAGAACCTCTACTCCTTCCTTTGGGTCCCTCTCTGCACATATGTCTGATTTGTAGTACCTCTTTCTTAGAATTGTAAGCGCTTCAGAGCAGCAATCATGTCTCCATCAGTGTCTTGACAAGACATTTACATGATAGGTTGGCTTAAAACCACTCATCTGCGACTGAGCTATCTTAAGCTTTTGGAAGGAATGAACAACCTGATTCCTTTGAAAAGCTTTTGTTCATGAAAAATGTATTTCCTAACACTGATTTGAATTTGAAGTCTGTCAGTCTCAAATATTTTTTAATAATTAGTTTATTATTTACATATTTGCGGGGTTAGCTTAATTTTTAGTTTTTCATCCTTCCTAGTACTACAGGTACACATATTTGCACATACACGGGCAGGTGAGAGAAACTTCCTTCATTACATGTACATATATAAATGAACGAAGGAAGAGCTTCTCACTTATTTTCTTGGTCGCTACAGCAAGGGTTACTAGGAAAAAAAGAAAAAAATACTGTGAGATTCATAGTAAAAATCACTAGAGTGGACAACTTTTTAACTAAAAAGAGCTCTCTTGTGGCCACCCTGGCTGAGCTTTGAAGTATGTCCTTTCACATACTTTGCCTCTCCCCTATCCTCTTGCTCTGTGATCGGAAGTCTACCTTCATGGAAAATGAGTTCATCAGGTTTCAGTAGTCTCCTGACAAGCCAAGCATAAAACAAAGAGAGCTGCCGCTCCACACCCACACGTGTGTGTGTGCTGCAGTCTTCCAGGAAATGATAATCAGAGGCTCAGGGCTGACCACAGTGCTGTAAGAAATTAAACATGTGATCATCATCAAATACCAAAACATGTCTACCTGTATTATGTTAAGAGCACAGAACCCACAGTCGTAATTTTTTAACTGAAATACTTGGCTTGGAGGCAAAACTGGGGCTTGCCACAAGCATTCTGATTTCTGAATTACCAAGGCTCAAACCAACATATTTTGCTGTGTCTCTCCACATGCAGCCCAAATTAGTCCTCCAGTAGGTGCCTGAAAATACCATTTTTCTTCTTGACTGAAATGTTGTAACAGTCCCGTTCTGCACAGAAGATAAGCAGGAAAAATGCATTATGCATTAATGGGATTTGATGGAGTGTGAGCTCAGTTTCCCCAGTGCCACCAGAGACAGAGTAAAATTTGCTTGATCATCTCATGAGTTGAGAATCATTTTTGGTGTAGCACTGTGAATATAACCCAGCTACAAGTGGACAGTAGTTGTTGTGAGGAAAAAACTGTTCATCTGTATGATAGCTCAGTGTCATCTGGAATTTGAGAATTGAAAATGCAAGGTCAGAGGGCAGCTGACACTTGATTTTGCTCTCTCTCCTCTATCTGCGGCTTTGATCATGCTACATCTTTCTTTGTGCCTGTTGCTCAAGAGAGTACCCCAGGGTCATGGCCTGTTTCCTTGTCAAGAGGTATAAACCTCCTGGTCTAAATGTCTGAGGCCCGAGCTTTAGCTGGGGTGGGGCCATGAAGGAAGAGGGGGGGAGCATTTCCTTCATGCTTTTCACTTTCCCCACATAACCCAAAGCAGACTAAACAAAACCAGTGTGAAATCTCATGGCTTGATGCTGCTATGGTTATATTTTTTAAGCTGTCATCCGTTCATTTATAGTTATGTTTATTCCCTGGATTTACAGCTTTTTTTTCAGCCTTTTCTTGCAGGGAGGTGCAGGGGGAGGTCGAAACCTTTTGAAAGGGGATTGCAGTAAGCAGTGGCCTGTGATTAAAGCACTGTGTTTTTCCTTGATGCCGCTCCTCCGCAGCAGTGTCACACATGGTAGCATTTAGGAGCCCTTCACAGCTGAGGTGTTTCAAACACTAATGAATGGAAGTTTGGTCGTATAAGGCGGGCAAGCTTTAAGGCAAGCTTTGCTGAATGGTGTACTGTAGTGGCCTGGGAAAGGAAGAGAGTTATAAATTGTGTCAGTTAGCCACCCAGACAAAATGAAGCCATGTGGAAAATCAAATCTATTAAAGTATGAAGACTGTTATAAGCTGTTTTAAGATGGTCATTCTTCAGAGGTCTCAGTTGGCTGAGGGAGTGAATTCCTCTTCTTCCTAGATCTTTTTCACGTGCTGTCTTAGGCAATGATGTTCAGTGTTTGATTAAAAAACAGCTTTTCATTGACAGCCCCTTGTATTAGAAATGTTAGTTGCCCCCAGTTCTCTACCCGTGTTCTGAAAGGTACTGAACATTTGTTTGAAAAGCAGAATAAGAGCATCACATTTGGTCAGGCTTGCTGACATGGCAAACATGAAGCAGCAGTAGGAGAGGGGAAGACTTCTCAGAGCAACTACTTAGAATTGGATATGTGCTCAAAATGCTTTCCATTTTCTAGCTGCCCCATAAGAGGCCCTTGACAAAGCGTGGCACAGAATGCTTTTTCTTGACATCTCCTGGAGTAGAAGAAAAACCTGGCAAAGCAGGGTGTGGGGGATCAGAGAGCAGGGTGCCTTCCCTTTCTCCCCAAGGTGGCTTCTTGATACATCACAGGAGCTGTAAAGGGCATTTTATTAACTCAAGAGGTAATTGTCAGCTGCATGAGGGATAACTGAACTGGCAGCCTAAGATGAATGGTCACCACGGTATTTATTATTCCTATTTGTGTATTCTAGGAAGAGACTGAAGAAACGTCCTCACAAGAGTCTGCAGAAGAAGACTAGGAGATCACACCATGCAATTTCTACCTCATCAGCAGTTGGGTCTTTTGAAGGGAGAAGACACTGCCTTGACCACTTACTTTCTATTGCCATGGTCTTTCCACTTTTGCCTGGGGGAAAAAAAAAAATCACATAACCTTAAAAAGGATTCGACTAATCATCTTCTTTTGTAATCCCTTCACAGTCCCAGGTCTAGTGAAAAACTGCTGTAACACAAAGGGGACACAGATTAACGATGCAACTTTTAATTACTGTTTTCTTTTTTCCTAACCTACTAATAGTTTGTTTGAGCTGCTAAGTAAGGGTGAATGGGTCAAGAAGAGCTCCAAATCAGGCTTAGGTCATTGACTGCACTGCGTATAAACAAGAAACTTGTAACATAGTCATTATAATGGGCATTGAAATAGGAAAGGCTGGGTGTGTAACACTTATGCCTTGCAACACTTCCAGCAACCCACTCCCTACTTAGTGAACTCCCTCTTTTAGAACACCAAAGATAGGGGATAGATACTATCCTTTTTCTTTTGTAACCTTCTTGTAGACTTGTACTTGATTTTTTTTTATTTTTTTTTTTTTAAGACTTACTATTATTTCGGGAAAAAAAAATGAAAGCTGATCTTTTCATTTCATTCAGCCGGTAATCAGAAGAAAGAAATCAAGATGAAAAAGGTACTTTGATTTTACAAAAGGGAAGAAAGACAAAGATACGTTGTATAGTTACAGATACAATCTTATCAGCACAAGCAGTAGTAAACAAAATGAGCAGTTCTTATCACCTGGCTAATAGGAAGACAGGGAGTTGGCTTTCTTAGAGCCAGGAGTTTTCTATGGGAACAAAAATGACTGACACCACTCTTACACCATTAATGAGTAAGTCTTTACTGATAAAAGTGTTTTAAATCATACAGAAAGGTACCTAGAAATTAATCATAAATATATCTGAACAAAAATAATCCAGATTTTTGCTTAGTTTCTACTAATTCCACTTGCCCTGTACCAGTATTTTGAAAGAATTGAATCTTTCCTCATTACTCATCAGTCACAATGTAAGAATGAACACCATGTACCTCAGCTAAGCTCATGCATTACTTTAAGCAATGTATTTTGACATAGGATGGTTCACTGAGCACCTCTGTGCCAGTGGCATTTCTCCATCTTTTCACTCAAAGCAGCACTTTTAGCACCAGATGCAATATTACCCCACTATTCAATACTACCTCTGATTTTTACAAATAACTCAACAGACTGATAAATACATGCTGCTATACACATTCAATGCAGGAAATTTTTACTGGGTAGATAATCATGAGTATCTGCATTTTCCCTTTTTTTCTGTTTCAACCTTTTTTGCAGTTAAGGAAGCAATGTCTTTTTTGTGTTTCAGCATGACTATATGTTTTTCTTTCACTTGGTTTGTTTGATTTTTCTTTTTTTTTTTTTTGTGTGTGGGTTTTTTGGTTTTGGTTTTGTTTTATTTTATGTACTTACTCTATTCTCTGCTAGACTTCTGTGTAATGTACTGTTAACTTGAATATATTTTTGTATTGAATTGCTGATAGATTTGTGAGGATAATTTTCTTCAAGGACACTACATGACAGAAAAAATTTAGCTGTAAAGTTTAAATATTACTGTCCAAGTTTGTACCTCAAATGAATTGTTTAAAGAAATGGACTAATTGATTGACAAAGACCTACCTCCAGACTTTAAATGGAATGAACTTGTTACTTTCAGCATTAGTTTTGAGACGTTTGAAACAGTTAGGACTGCAACTAATCCCTAATCCAAAATTATTTTTGTAAAATAACTTGTGGAAAATGAACACATTTTAAATTACTTTCGTATTAAAAGAAAAAAAAATGAACAAAAAAAACCTTCAAAGAAACTTGAAGCTTTGTAGGTGGGAAGCAACAAGCTCAGCTTTTGCATAATGCAATCACAAATATGTGTTTTTAAAAAAAAAAAATTAGTAGATTGTAAGAAAATACTTGACAAGTATTTTCATGTATTTTACACAAATGTGATTTTGTAATATGTTTCAGCCAGATTTATTTTAAATGCTTCTTATGTAGAGATTTTTTTATTCTCCCCTCTCTCACTTTTGTTGTTCTTTCTTTCTCTCTCTCTCTCTCTCTCTCTCTCTCCCCACCTCCAATTTAATTTTCTCTATTTCTGTTTTGTTTCCCTTCTTCCTCTCTTTCCTAGTCAGTACTTTGTACCATTGTATTAATAACTGGGCCAGGGGTAGTTTCTCAGGAAGGCATCTGTTGGTCTGGCTTTCGTATGGAGCCAAGTGCAGTTAGAGATAACAATTTACTGCCTTCTTCCAAGAGGCAGTGTCAAGAAATGTGGACCTCCACGAAAGACTGTGCAGGGTTCAGTGCTGGAAATTGCTGGGAAAGAGCTGATTGGAATATTATTAACTAGACATGATAATATCAAGTGAAAGAGAAATAATCCTAGCTATACAGTAGCTCTAACAGGCCAAATCCAATGTCACTTGAAGGCAGTAATAGGAATTTTGCTGCCTTCAAAGGGCATCAAATCAAGCCTTAGCAAGTCCCTTTTGGGGTCTGAGGGGGTTTTTTTTGCATTTTTTAAAACCACGGTATTCAGCGGATGACACAGAAATAATTGCTGTGTGTTTGTCACTCTTCAACCTCTGAGACTTACCACTCTGATGAACCGAATCTTACATTTTCTATATATTGTAGTACAATCAAAACACATTACTACCTCTTAGGGCCTACTATACCTCATTTTTTCAGACTGAAAAATTGCATGTGGCCATTGAGTCAGTGAGAACATCATAAAATTTTTTTATATATATAGTTTATTTTTGTGGGAGATAAATTTTATACGACTGTTCTTTGCTGTCATTGGTCACTGCTAACTATGACTGGACATGTAACTCTTCTACCATTTCTGCAAGAGAGGTGTGTTTGCAGGAAAAAAAAATTGCTTTAAGATGTTGAACTACAGTTTACTTTTCCTTTTGAGTGTCTTCTAACTCTTTGCTTTGTTCTTCATGTAGAGTTGCTGTCTATGATTGTACTTCAAATCGCTTGCTTGTTGAAAATGTTCCTTTAATGGTTTATCACAGTCTGTTCAGCACAATAAACATAATAGCCTCTGTGATCCCCATGTTGCTTGATTCCTAGACTTTTGTCACGGTTCCATAAAATGGGTAATAAAGTTTGGTCACAATGACCAAATTTGTAAAATCTTTGCATGCAAGTAGTCTTTTTTTTTTTTTTGTCCCAGGACCATAGGCATGTGCCTGAGAAGTTAATTTGCTGTTAGGGGCCATGGGGTGGGCACTTAGCAGAGCTACACATCTCACCAGGCTCCCCAAAAGGTGGCACACCCATTCCTGGCCCAGGACTTGCTGTGCTGAGCTAAGGGCTAAACTGTGCACTTGGGGACCACCAATCCTGCCCACCAGACAGGGAACACCAAGGCACAGGGCAGGCTGATACAGGTTTTGTTGCCTGGTCTCAGATCCACCTCTTGGAGGTCCACTAAGATGATGAGCCTTTTCTTCTTAGGCAAGATTGCAGTTTACATCCAAGTTAATGGAATTTCCATTATGCAGGCATAAGGTTAGAAAGAGCAGGTACTCAGGGCAGCAGACAGAGGGATATGTCTGGGTACTGTCTGCAGCACAAATTGAAGAGCTCAGGAAACTGTATTAAAACTCAGCTGCCCCCAAGATAGTGATAGGTAAGCTGGCAGGATTCTTCTGTCTTCTCTTCATTTGCTCTTACATGGTCTTGTGGCCTGTTACAGTGAGATTTAAAGTCACAGAGTCATAGAATATCCTGAGTTGGAAGGGACCTGCTAGGACTATCAAATTCCAGTTCCTGGGCCTGCACAGAACAGCTGCAAGAATCACTTCATGTGCCTGAGTGTTACCCAAATGCTTCTTGAACTCTGTCAGGCTGGTGCTGTGGTCACTTCCCTGGAGAGCCTGGGCCTGACCATTCTCTGGGTAAAGAATCTTTTTCTGATATCTAACCTAAACCTCCCCTGACTCAGCTTCATGACCTTTTCTGGAGTCCTGTCCCTGGTCATGAGAGCGAAGAAATCAGTACCTGCCCCTCTGCTTCCCGTCATGAGGAAGTTGAAGATCACAATGAGGTGTCCCCTCAGTCTCCTCTTCCAAGGATGAAGAAGCCAAGTGACCTCAGCTGCTCCTCACAAGGCTTCCCCTCAAGGCCCTCCTTTGGACACTCTGTAGTAGATTTATATCTTTTTTATATTGTGAGGCCCAAAATTGCACACAGGACTTAAGGTGAAGCCATACAAGTCCAGAGCGGAGTGTCATCTCTGCCATCTGATGAGGTCTGTGGTGCATATCCATTGATTCATATTGGCAACCATTCCTCTCTCACCTAGGGGGATTGTGCAGTTATTATTTCCTGAGATGTGTAGATTCACACATTTTTTGTGTTCACTCATTTACAGACTCTCTACTCTCAACATCTTCCCAAGGGCTTCATGACATGCTCCCTTTGGCTTCAGTTACTTGTAAAATAACCAAAATAAGATCACAAAAGAAGCACTAAGTAACAACACCCATTCAGTCCTGAGTCATATGTGAGTAATTGCATTCATCACATTATATGTCTTCTGCTTTGTCACCCTGCTTAGTGGTATTAAAAGATCATGCCAGGGTTCAGTCTTCCTGGTGGTCGTTTTCCCTGTGGTTGCCATCACTTGGCTCTTCCTGTTATTTTATTTTATCTGATGTGATGTTCCAGCTGTAACCCACCCACCTGGTGGGTCAGCCAAGTGGCTGAACTTCTGCTACTCCGTGCTTAACTCCCCTCTGCTTCTTAGTCATTCCTCCAGCTTGTTTCACTCCCACTTCCCTTCCCAGGGCATCTCCCAATAAACTTCTGCATGTTTTATTCCATGGTGAGACTACTTGTGTGTATAAAACTAATTGGCTTCTGCAGGATCAAGGCCTGCATTTGTCTAGCAGCCAAGAGTGCTTTATCCAAGATGCCTGTGGCAGGAGTCATATTAAGTTTCTGGTTTTGCTTTCCTCTGCCATCACATCTCATCCACACAAATATGGGGAGGAATTACTGAAAGCTGGTGCTGCCAGAGCCTTGCACAGCTATTTAATTGTCCGTAGCTCTTTTCAAAACCAAGCCATCTGGTCTGGTCATCATTAGAAACAGGACCTAGAGCAATGGCAACAGCATGTTCTCCCAATCACACGAGAGGAGTCAGATTTGTCATGCCTCACACTTCACCTGAAGCCTGAATGCTGCTTTTCACCCCAGCACCTCTGCATACAAGGATGTAAACTTTTGCCTCTCTATTTTTCCTTTTTTAATGTCCCACCATCTTTATGATTACATTAATTTTTCAATATACAGAAGTACTTAAGCATTATTATGGTTTAGGAACAGCACTCCTGCTCCTTCCCTCAGGTGCCTCCAGTGAGAGACACAAAAGGCAGAG